CAGAATAACAAACAACGTGGCCGGAACGACGGCGACTCGCAAACGGCGATTTGATGGGCAAATGGCGGAATCACGTGCGCACAACTTGCTGTCATGGAGAGCAGCGTCTATCCGTGAACAACGAGGCCGGAACGACGGCGACTCGCAAACGGCGACTTAAACGACAAATGGCGGAATCACGTGAGCACATCTTTCTGTCACGGAGAGCAGCGTCTATCCGTAAACAACGTGGCCGGAACGATGGCGAGTCGAACGTGGCCGGAAACAACGGCGACTCGCAAGCGGCGATTAAAACGGCAGCTTCTGTTGTAAGAATGGACCTTACAACCGCGTCAACTAAGTGGACCAACAAGGCACGACAACTCCGTGTGGAAAAAATCAACCGACGCACACCAGGAACGACAACGTTCGTCACGGAGGCAAGAGAAAGAACAGAGCAACGGCGGCGGGTTTTTCGTCGATGCACAGGATTACAACGACATTTTTAAATATTGCCAACCGCCCCTAACGGTCGTTCGGCTGATCGAACATATTTGTCTACACGGCGCTACCAACTGTAACCCGGTCATTACATTTTCACCGTGTTTGCGTGAACAGACACTATTCATGTAACAATTATCGTTCCACGTTTTTGTTTACCTCTACAAATCAGTTAACCAAAGCATTCAAATTTAGCCGCAGAGTTATTTTTTCTATTAAACATTTGTTTTATCGTTATATTTTCAAATAAGTATACTCGACGTTTTTCATCGATAGTATTATAAATGTAGGTATTATTTTTAAAATTACTTGATTGCACACACGCGCGTGTCGTGATGATTCACGCAATCTAATCGCATTGGCTTTCACTAGTCGGAAAGTTTCACGTATACCTCCCCTACTTCCTAGGCGCGTGTAACCAATCATAATCACCAGGGAACGGACTTTAATGTCTTAAAAAATAAGAAAAATGTCCTTAAAAAATACGACCTTATGCCTTCAAAAAATGCTTTAATATTAAAAAAATGCACTAAAAACATTAAAAATGTTATTAAAACTTCAAATTTATAAAAAATTCATCATTATAAAAAATTTATCTTATAAAAGAAATATTTAAATATATACAATAAAAAAAAAACTTTTTTGTCTTTTCGCTCATCTTTTTTTTTAGCCTGAAAAATGTTTTATGTTAATTAATAATTATTAATTGTTTTCACCGAATTCTTGTACATACACACGAAAACGACAACGATCGGACGGCTTAATTTTCGGCATCTTTCACATTTATTATTATTATTCGAATTACGATAGCGAACACGACTAACGACTAACGACTCTATGGGCCGGTTTCACCATTAAAGAATTAAAGTTGAGATTAATTAACTCTGAGTTTATCAGTAACCCCAAGTTATCATTATTACAGTTTCACCACCAGTTTATAAGTGGAAGTTAGTAAATCTCAGGTTAGCTAATTAATTGTTGGTATTAACCAGGATTCCCTCTCATTTTCCACTGATAGCATTGATAACACCGCTCATTGAATTGATAACGTTGAAAACGTTAACCCTTTCAGACCCAAATTAATTTCTTATAGAGATAAAAAAAATTTTATTGCTTATTTATTTTACTATGGACTATAATAAGAGTAAAATGTGGTATCTATTATTACTGCAAACAATTCAGCATCCCTTAATTCTTTAACTATTGAAAAACGCACTTGATTTCACAAAATATTTAAAAGGGTATTTTGGCTTTCATGGGATAAAAAGGTAATTCGATTTCTTTCCGTTGACCAAATTTTATCTAAATGAGCCATAAGTGATCCATGATATTCTCCAACAACTTTTAATAGTTCTATGAAATTACCTAGACAAATCATTTTATACAGTGAAAATAATTTAGCAAAAACTAGATATTAAAATTCAATATTCACATTACCTCGATTTTGGGATATTACTGTTTCATCATGACCCCTGAAAGCAATATTTTGCCTAGCCAAAAATATTAAAACTTTTATAATAACTCTAACTATTTCTCTGTTTTCTGATATTTGTTGATGTTTGGTATGAAGTAGTTTTGAATGTATTCTGATGGTTTTGGAATATAATCCACGACTTATTTCAGATTGTAGATGTTCACTAGTATATGCGTGAGTTTCCAGGTCTTTTTTTAAATGTTTCCAATTACTTAACCCTTTTTGAGCTATTAGTAATTTTTTGGTTTTAGGAAGCCCAAATAGCTTGCAAGATATACAGTACACTCTGTTAGTTGATGGGGAATAAGAGAGCCAAGCACGTTTAATAAATGAACCGTTTGGTAATACGTTATTATAATATGAATGGTGAAATTTTCTAGAAACTCCTGAGAAATCTTTTGAAGATGGAAAACATTTTCCAGGAAGTTCCCAAGGAGATGGTTGACATGGTCCATATTGCATTAAATGGTTTAACATTTCATTTGACACAACTTCTGGAAAATTTCCTGGGTCATTAGGAAATAAATCAAAACCTAAATAATTAAAATCCATTATTATTTTAGATACAAAAAAAAGTTATCACTTGGTAGTCCATTATTTAAGAGTATTATAAATTCAAAACAAAAACATAGGTACCTAATACCTAAATATTGCATATATATATACTTACATAAAGATGAAGTAGGTGGTATAAAAACTTCATTTACAACATTATTTTGATCATTGGTGTCCATAAATACAGTATCTTTTAATATAACAGGGGCACTGTCACCAATAATATCAGTAGCATTATTTTGATCATTGGTGTCCATAAATAAAGTATCTTTTAATATAACAGAGGCACTGTCACCAAACATATCAGTAGCATTGCCTAAAAAAATTGTTATTGTTCTTTTAAGTTGTTTTATTGATTGATATTTAATATTTAATCAATACAACAGAAAAATAATGAAAAACAAACTTGTGTTTAAACTTTATAATTTAAATAATATCTTAAGTACATATTGGCATATTAAATTAAAAACTTAATGTTAAATTCACAAAATTATTATTTTTTTTAAACCAGAATATTAAGGTTTGTTTCAAATAAATAGTAATGAACTTACTTATAGTTGAATTGGATGGTAAAATATCTTCATTTACAACTTTATTTCGATCATCGGTGTCAACTCGAGCTTTTTTAGGAGCAGGGAAAAAAGAAGTTATGGATTGTGAATAAGACTTAGATTTTCTGGCCTTACAATTGTCAATGTGTTTTTTCCAGTTGGGACTATTCAACTTCCCTCGTTGTTTACGACAAACGCACGTCATAGTTTTTTTGGTTTCAGGCATATTGTGATATTAATAAAACAATTAATTGTGTCAGGTTTAGTAAAACGCCGAAAAAATCAAAAAATCACAGTTTACATATAATACGTCATGAGAGCATAAACACTATACAGTACAGTGTACACACTATACACTGATGACTTAATAAATAATGACAGATATGTACGCTAGACGTCAATACTCGATACAAAACTACAAAGCCACCATTGATATATATATCTGGGAAAACCACTGACTACTAACGACACCGATAAGATATTTCGTCTAATAAACGTTAATACGCGATTACATGTATACATTTTCATGTACACATGTGTATGAATTATTATTACATCATGCAGCCAGCAAAATGCTAAATGCTCACGTCGCTTTCGATACCGAGTACCTACCATCTTATCTGTGTTTTCCTATTGAAAAAATAAAACCTGCCAGCTTTGACATTTTCCAACCACCCACCCACCCACCAATTTTTTGTCTGGGACACTTGTCCCAAAAAACCACGGTCGCTCCGCCACTGGTGTTCACACACTAATCCGGTACTCAATATGGAGTACCGGACGGAAAAATATCGTACCGGAACGTTTATCAGCACAATAAGCACACACTGCTGCGGTACGATACGTATACGATACTAAAATTTATTATTTTAAAATTATTGTATTATGATTCTACAATTATTATTAAAACTGTTATTATTTTTAGGAAGGACTTTATGTATTTATAGACTTATAAACAATTTTATGTGAATTTGTACTGTGTCTGTGTATATTAACATCATAAATGTTGTACTTTGAGGTTCAAATTATTTGTAGACTATATAGACATACTACATAAACATTCTATAAAATCCAAAAAATAAATATAATAAAAATAAACAACTACCAAAAAAATGAAAAAAGACTAATTATTCCAAAAACAATTTATTACTGAACAAAGAAAAGTTGTTGAATAGTTTTCTACAAATTTTGTAGGTACTTAAATATTACGTACCTGATAAGGGTAGCTGGAAAATTATAGAAATAAGTTTTTAGAAATTGTGTCCAGAATTTTAGATTTTTTGAAATTAACAGATGAAAAGATGATAGCATTCAATAATCTTAAAAGTGTGAATATTATAGATACGGGTAGGTAATGAGTAGTTACCATTAACGGATAGGCAATGAGGAGATCACAAATTCCGTATGCGTTGTCTCCTTCTTATGAACATACAACATGGCAAATCTGTATTCAGCAGAACTAATTTTGTGTTATTACATATTAGCTTTAATACAAGATTAATCTGACCTATTATCGATTCCAACGTAAATTATCTCTATCTTCTCATAAGTTATTTACAAAATCTCAATTTTAAGGAGCTTATGACTAGATATGTAAAATATTTCAATTTAAAAAAGCTCAAAAATAACTGTCGTTTTAAAAATTAAGATATTGTAAAAGAACTTAAGATAAAACACAGATATTGTATTTTCCCGGATGTGAAATCATTTTTTCAATCATCATTCATCAATCATCAATTAGAATTAATTTATCCAACTACACAATGATGAAGACATGAAGTAGATATAAAATCTACTATACAGCAGAATAAATTCCCTGATTTTTTAAGTACCTATGGTTTTTAAAACTGATTTGTTAGTTAATTTTACCGTTCCAGTACACGATAAAAATCGTGCATGCAACATTCTAAAAATACCGGTGCAGAAATCGTCCTCCGGTACGATATTTGAGACCATACCGGCATTATATGGCACTAGTGTGCAAGCTTCCATTTAGATCTATGGGCATGGTTATTAATTGTACCGCACAAATAATAACGGAGGCGCGCACCGGACCGGTCTAGTTCGGTGTGTGCGATGCCTATGAAAACCATTTGAACTATTTTACCGGCAACTTTACAGTACCGATACCGTATCGCGTACCGCAGCAGTGTATAGGCACCTTTAAACGTTAATGTCAATTTTCATACCGGTATTGGTGTATACCACATGCCTATACAAGAGAACTTAAAAAAGTTAATAAATACTTTGTGTTTTATTGCTTTTATTACCCATGTTTATTTTTAATGATATCAAATATATCAGATACAACGAAATTTCGTTTTTTCCGTTATATTATATAGTATTTTCCGAGTTTCAGTAAAGTAGTAGGTTATAGATGTCAAGGAATCCAAATTTAAGCATTTTCATAAAATTTATTAACAATGATTTCATTCAAATAAAAACTGTGGATTTTATTTAATAATTACTTTTATTTTATTTAGTTATCCTCAACTTATTTATTGTTTTATTATTAATTTTTTTTATGAACTATTAAAGGACTGTACTACATATGTATAAGTATTCTATATTTATTAGATATAATACGGTGAAATTAGTAAATTTGACAACGTTGCATACAATTTCATACGCAATCGTGTTTATTTATTTTTCTTACCCACCTTCTTGTTACCCATCTACAAATGTACGCAATCGTGTTGCCAAAAAGGATAAACGTATGCAATCGTGTTCTACCCAACGTTTTTAGGAACATAAGGGCTCCGCGAACAATGAAGTTTGAGAATCACTGCAGTAATATAATGGTATTCGAAAACATCTTTGGTTTAATGGACGTTTTAAATTTACTAACAATACCATGCTCGCTCACGCGCATACACACACATAATAAACATTTAATAAATGCAACATAAGAATTGAAAGAAAATACGAACAACATAAACAAATTTATCCAACGCAACGAGGAATCGCATTCGCAGTCGGGTCCGATAAGCGGTACAGGGCTCAGTACTCCTTGTTCTCGTTAATTTCCTCGGGGCCCACTTCTTCATCGTCGAACTCGACCTCCTCAGCCGTCGCTTCCTGCGGATACGAAAACCGTATAACTCGTAAACGTCCTAAGAGGCATGGCGTTCGGCGCATGTACCTGGTACTGCTGGTACTCGGACACCAGATCGTTCATGTTGGACTCCGCTTCAGTGAACTCCATCTCGTCCATGCCCTCGCCCGTGTACCAGTGCAAGAAAGCCTTGCGCCGGAACATGGCCGTGAACTGCTCGGAAATGCGTTTGAATATCTCCTGGATAGCGGTGGTGTTCCCGATGAATGTAGCCGACATCTTGAGGCCTCTGGGTGGTATGTCGCATACGGCAACCTTCACGTTGCTGGGAATCCACTCGACGAAGTACCTACGCAAAGAATCAAGGGCGTCGTTATGGTCTTACGCGTGTCACGAATCACCCGCGCAGCCATACGCACCCCGAGTTCTTGTTCTGGATGTTTAGCATCTGCTCGTCCACTTCTTTCATGGACATGATACCCCTGAATATGGCGGCCACGGTCAGGTAACGTCCGTGCCTGGGATCGCAGGCGGTCATCATGTTCTTGGCATCGAACATCTATATCGGACAGTAACGGTAAACGGTTACGAGGAGTGGCACAAACTAGTAAGAATTAGGGGGGGGGAAACAAAAAAATTCGACACTCCCCTATGAAAAAAGAATCGGTAGCTGCGCTCGCATACTGTACAATTACTTACGAGTTTAACTTACGTAATACGAGTATAAGCATATTGATGTATGCTTATTGTTATGTCTGAAAATCGACTATCGATTATTGATCGACTGCCCACCCATCTACCGAATTAAGGTAATTATTTTCCTTCCCTCCTAGCTCCCCTATATTTGCCCCTCTAGGCGTAAGTACAGATTTTTCGAGCAACATAATATCGACAACGTATTATTACGTTTAGTCACTCGCTAATGGGTTCGATAACTATTGATACAGCGATCAAACAATGTGTGAATAAATTACATAATACAATAACTGTATCGTTGAACAAGCAATGCGCTTGTATAAACACAATTCAATCTTTTATTTATCGATATATAATATAAAATGACCAGGACTCGTTTACAATTAAATGTTGTAGACATTTTTTTTCGTAAAAAAAGATAATTTTCATAGGTAGTCACTATTATTAAGTTACAATACAGTAATACATCAAATGCCACGCGAATTTAATAAAAACCCATGTCCATAAAAAACTTGTCGTTTACTAATTCAACACTAGAAATTGTCAAAGCTTCTTCTCCCGTGCAAGATTTGTTTTTACGTTAATTCTATAATATTCAAAAATAATATGGGTTACGTAATTGTGATCAGGTTACATACTTGCTGGGTAAGTTCCGGAACAGATAGGGCCCTGTAAGACTGGCTACCCCTGGCTGTCAACGGAGCGAAACCCGGCATGAAGAAATGTAACCGGGGGAAAGGCACCATGTTGACGGCCAATTTTCTTAAATCAGCGTTCAACTGACCGGGGAACCGAAGACACGTTGTCACCCCAGACATAGTCACCTGAAACGGTATAACGATAAGACTTCCGTTCGGCCGGTGTAAGGTTATGACGCCCGCATACAGGGCGGTTCGGTAAGCGTGTGTTACGTATTATTATCGATATCATCAAGCGCATGCACGCACATACAGGATGTAAAGATAGATTTCCTAGTTCTACGTATGTATATGTTACGGGTAAAGTATACAATACGGATATTGTTCATATTAACCGGATAATGAGAATTACCTGGATAAAGTAAAAATATTATTTCTAAAACTTTGTTCCGTATACTACACGAGTAATTCGTACATTATCTACGACTATCAATTTACTCTATGTCCTACACCATTCATAGATATTTTAGAAGTTTTATCCACAAAAAAAAATCTTTGAGCAAATGTTCAATTACTTTCCAGTGATCAAAGTTGTGGAAAACGGCCAATGTAAAAATAAATGCTTATCGAATAAACGAAAATGCAAATTTAGGAGTATATTTTGTAATTTTAAATATCACCCGTACTCAAATTGTTCTAATAAATTATTTATTTAATTTTTAAATTTAAATTAAATAGTAATATATTTCAAATTTTCACGGCACACCGGCTAATGTACTAAGTTATAAGATAATGTATCTTCTTCTTCGCTAATAAAAACTTATGGTTGGTTTTGCAGTCGGATGTGCGCTCTCTACTCTTCTCTGTTTCCAGCTAACCTCTTCAATTCAGTGCAGCTTGATAGTCTGGCATCGGAAATCATTTGTGTTTAACAAATGAAGTTCTTGGGCGTCATCGGTCACTTCTACCTTCAATTTTCCCTTTTTTTCTTCTTCTCCTTTGCCATTCACCCAATTATTTGAGGTCAACCACCTTTGTCCTAAACCCTCAGTCGTATCGATTCCCTACATCCCCTATGCACACAACATGTCAATTTTCCCTTCTGTTATTCTATAAATTAGTTTATTTCCGCCCCTCGATATGTGACCAAATAACGGTCCGTCGTCTTGCTTTGACGGTGTTGAGTATCTCACTACGTTCATCTGTTTGGCCGAGTACGCATTCGTTGGTACGGCGTTGCGTACAATCCACTCGCAGCATCCGTCTTCAACACCATATTTTAAAACTTTCGAGGTTTCCAGATAATGTAAACATCGTATACACCAAGAATGGCAAACCTTTGAACACTGCGTACCCAAAATTACCTTTTTTTTTTTTGTTATAGAGCGTGCTACGAAAAAAATATTAAAAATATTATATTTTGTTATATTATAATTTGATTGTATAATTAATGTATTAATATAAAAAGGTTAGTTTAGGTACATAATAATAATAATTATAATAATATTGCTTTGTTAATTGTTTATATTATATTATATTATAGGTCCTATAATATATAATAGTAAAAATGTTCGCGTGCTATGGATTTGCCATCCCTGGTATACACTATCCCGTTTTATGAGACATTACCCGTAACGCATGCACCAAATACACTGTTTTCGGGCGAGGATCGCGAACAGTGCGCTCACCGAGACCAAATGGTTCAAGTCGCCGTACGTGGGCGAGGTCAATTTCAGAGTCCTGAAGCAGATGTCGTACAGGGCCTCGTTGTCGATGCAGAAAGTCTCGTCTGTGTTCTCCACCAACTGGTGGACGGACAACGTAGCGTTGTAGGGCTCCACCACGGTGTCCGACACTTTCGGCGATGGTACCACGCTGAACGTGTTCATTATGCGGTCGGGATACTCCTCGCGGATTTTCGATATCAGCAGCGTACCCATACCGGACCCTGTGCCGCCGCCCAGCGAATGGGCCAACTGAAACCCCTGCAAGCAGTCGCAGTTCTCGGCTTCGCGGCGCACGACGTCCATGACGGCATCCACCAGTTCGGCTCCTTCCGTGTAATGTCCTTTAGCCCAATTGTTGCCTGGAAAACGAGGAACAGGTTATCACGGTTCAGGCACGCATACTGTAATTCCGTGAGTCCGCGGACACTCCCGGGGCAGCAGTTATTCGTATACCTGCTCCGCTCTGGCCAAAAACGTAGTTGTCGGGCCTGAACAATTGTCCGAAGGGTCCGGAGCGTACGGAGTCCATGGTGCCGGGTTCCAAATCGACCAGGATCGCTCTGGGCACGTATTTTCCATCTGCAAATATGACGATTTCAAAACGGACGGTTTAAGCGGTACGTGGGTTATATACCGATGTGGTGTAATATATTATATCGGTGGTGTTCTGGGCTTTATTTACGCTGCGGACAATTGTATTTTTTAAGGTCATCGTTTCGAACGATGCTCATATGATAAAAGTGCATAAGTTGGAATCTCCATTAATGTAATATATTTGATAAATTTATCGAACTGTATTCTGAAACCATGATTATAGTAAGAATGAAGGAATAGTTATAAAAGTATAGAGTTAGGCACTAAAAATGGATGCGAAATTCGAATGCTGAAGAAAGCTGAACAAAAGCTTCTTAAAAGTTTCGAGATGTCACGTTAGAACATAATTAATCGTATGTTCATGTTAATTATGTTCAGTAATGAATGAGTAATGAGCAAGACCTAGACCTAACCTAAGAACATATTTTATCAAAAATGTATTATGTAATACAATGGATTCCGACTAATATGGGCACCGGTTTATATGGGTATCCGTGTAATATAGTTGAAATGGTCTAGTCCAAAATCCAATGTATACTAAAAAGGAAAATAAAACCGTATAATTTAACACGGTCCGGTTTATGTAGGTATTATTTATTTTATCATAGCTTTAGAATATATATATTAACAACTAATACATCCTATCTATGAGACTGTTTTTATCATAAGTAATATAAATCATTAACTTTTAAACTTTTAGTAGGATTTTATTGTGAGTTTAATTGAATGTGCATAAATGTATCAAGAACAAAAAAAGTAATTAAATAAAGAGATAAACTTATAGTTTTTTTTCCCTAACTCAACCACAATCATTTTAGTTTCACCGCGCATTTCAACGCGATCATAATCGGAAAGATCTCAAAGAAAAAAAATCACGATTTTGGAAAAGTGAAATCTCTTTCTCTATGCACTTGTAAACGTAAAATCGCTGAAAAATTATACGTTCTAAGATAATAGTATTAATTATTATTATAAATAATTATTCATCTAAAATTTCAACTTTAAAAATGCTGTTGGTTTTTAATTAAGTTCGATTTATACGACCAACCGCTTAATGTAATCAAATGGATTTGATCCCAACTTGTTCATATTAAGCGGAATCCACTGTATGTAAAGAAATTCATTCGGAGAATTGAAGAGGTTAGCTGGTGATGTGATGAATGGTAATTGCAAAGCCAATCCTTAAGTTGTGCACCGAGAGAAGAATATAAATGATGATATGAATTTTTGAAAAACTTTCGTTCAATTTAAATACACCACTAGTTAATAAGCTAAGTGCACGATTTTCTTACTTGTTCCCGCCTCATTATAGTAGACATTGATCCTTTCCAGTTGTAAATTGTTGTCGCCGTGATACGCTCCACATGGATCGATACCATGCTCGTCCGAAATAATCTCCCAAAACTACGAAACAAATGTATCATTAAAATACAGCTATAGCGATGTGCACTATAGTTGAACTATACCAGCCGTGTCATAAATATTTATGTTACACCGATCACATGTACTGTATAGGCAACACATATGGTAATAGTCTAAAGTGTATTGCACAAACATAAATTATCATAAAAACAATTAATATAAAACGTACGAGTGTACTATACATGTACTCGAGACTAAACTATATTTAATATCTACATTTACGGTTCACACCACGATTAGAATATTTTTATCGAACATGCAGGTGCACGCGTCAAACGCCGTGGTTTTAATTTTAAGAACAATTCGTCGATGCACCTTTGTAGTTCGATTACGTCCATAATAAATCGTATGCTGAATATTTTTAACTGAAATGTCAATACCTATATAGGCTTATATTATACAATAACGGAAATCGTTAAACAATTTTTAATCGCTGTATTTGAAAACGTCTGTTTCCGGTCTGTAACCAACGCAGTCAACGCACTGCTTAGGCCTATATGCGCCCGCTGGTCATTACATTTGTACGCGTTCGTTGGGTTGATTTTTTTCCATACTGGATGTCTGGGTTATGTAATAACCGAAAGACATCCGTTTTCCAAATCGACCGCGGGCGAAACAAAAACAAAAAAAAAACCGTATAAATATTTGCAATAAATATCCAAGTTTTTTGTATAGGCACTACAACACATTATTCTACAATTAAACTCGAATACAGTTATAAAAACTCTTTCGGCTAACCGATATTATGTCTTTTGTGATAGTAGTAATTAGTTCAAAATGTATTCGTCAAAAATGAGTTTTTCCTCGCTCCAATCTAGTCCAAGTACTTAGGCCGAGATGATTTTTCCAAAAACTTTGTTATAAGGCCGTGTGCACCAGTCTAAATAATAATCTATAGTTCAGACGGACATCACTAAGTTTTAAAATTTCCCGAGCACATTTTTAAGGGCTCGGCGATTTTCTCGGTTCCTATATAAACACAGCACTAATCATAAAATATTACAATAATCGTATACATGATTCAAGCTCATATACGTACGGATTGTATCAATGAGTATTTCCGAATAATAAACCCAATGGATTCCATTTTCGCAAATACACGTAATAATGCATTGCAGTACATGCATATCACACCAGGCGAAAAATGATTTCAATAAGAGACAAAAATATAATTTTACATAGTTCAACTCGGAGGCAGATTGAGTATCGAGGGACCCGGAGAGTTAATCAACTGGATCTATTTTATTATAACATTTCAATAAATATTTTTAGTTAATAGGGTTCAATTCACCTCAATTAAAATATTCTAAAAGTCAATTAACGATGTTTTATTATTATATTTTTATATTATATTTCATGTACGAGTATATATAATTTTTATTAACATTATAGAGGGCCCGAGAATCAACTGCACCTTTGCCTTCTCGGCCTACGAGTAGACTACCCATGCTTCAAATGGCTCTAATACGTGTTTCATGGTTTATTTTTCAATTTTAAATTATAATATTATTGTTATAAAATGTAGTATGGCGCGATGCCGTGGACTATCAGTAAATAATAATTAAATACGGCATATTAATACTTCATTCATTCGTGTGTGAGTAAGTGCTCGGTAGATGTTGAAAACACGATGTCACTTTTAATATTAGAGAACACTTCATTGTTTATCAATAAGCCGTTACGAATACACCATACAGAGCATCGATATTGTTTTGACGATTTTTATCTATTTTATTTTTTTAAATTAATTTATAAACATACACGCTATAATAAAAATATTATACATTTCTTATTGCTGACGATAAAAATATTCACAATAGTGTTAATTCGTCGTATGATATTAATATCGTTTTAATCATCGACGAGTAACGACTTGAAACGAAACATGCAATCGTTTTATGCCTACATAAAACGATGATTTTCGAATAACTGCCGAGTATTACTATAAACATTTTTTCCACGCATAGAAAAAAGTTTGGTGAATTCTAACCGAATATTAACGTTGTTTAGAATGGGATCATTGATTATTTACTAAAATATAATCGACAAACGTAAATATTATTAGTGGTAAGGTAAGGTAAGGTAAGTATTAAAATAAGTATGACTTTTAACCCGATTTACATAATATGCGTGCGCGTGTAAAACCAATAACGCATACATAATGTTTGTTACAATATTTTAACGTTTGAAAACATAACTATTGTACCACCCGATCGATCGTTATTATTCCTCGGGAATTCTCACGATCGCGAAGAACAAGTTAAACATTGGGTTGCAGGAGTGAAAACCGCACACAATACGACCTCCAGAACACGATGTTCGAAGCCTTAAAATTCTTGGAAAAAAAATCCTAATACAATTCTAAGTACAAGCACAGTGTACGTAATTAGGTTGGTAATCGCGAGGACGTAACTAACTCATGACGTGTGGTTCGATGAAATGCAATGTTCAACGGTTGCTGAAAAATGAATCGAAGTAAAACGTGTACGGTCGTACTGTTCAACGAAGTCGTACAAGGGACAGTCGACTACGCGATGAACGCGTGTCCGTCTCTCAATATTTTTTCAATATTTTTTCCTCTACGTTTAAAACACAGCACACGAGATGATAATCATTAATGTTTATACAACGTTCGAATTTATGTAAACATGTTACGTATGCCTACGTGATGCGTCCGAACCCGTACGGTTTTTGTGCGCACGTGTTGAAACAACCGCGATAAGCGTGAGGTGTGTACACATTTGTAGCGCGCGTGCGTCGAATGTGTGTATGCAAATAATATAAAAAAATTACGATTGTTTCGTTTCGGCACCAAAAACGTTAAGCGTCATACGTGCGCGCTTTCTGTCTGCTGTTACTACATAACTAACCATCGATTTGTACATTTTCCGCAATCGCTACCGGACTCGACTTGGGTACCAATTTACCACTTTGTGTATTAACCTGACCCGTTGGTGACTGCTGTATACGTTTTACTACTGTACGCCAATCGAACTGAACGCAATCGTTTTGAGCATCCGAACACACTTTCTCGTCAAAAGGCGCACTTTAACAGTTTATCGCGAGCTGCTCTGAACGATTGCAAAAATATTCAACTGCGAAAAACTTGCGCAAATTTTGCACCCAGGACTACCGATAAAATGTACACGCGTATAGGATAGGCGCGCCATTTGGAAATCACATTCAACAAGTGACGCGTGTGCACTTGCAAGGGTACGGAAACCGGACGCGTGGCTAGGGCGGTTGCTCTGCGAACCGCGAGAGACGGTCCTACGTCGTCAGTCACGTGATTCTTGTTAATTTCACCAAGACGTGATTTCGCCCCGAAGTGGACTACCGATTATTTGTTAGCGCTCAGCGCGACACTGGACGCCGCTGGACCTCGCGAGTTATCATTCCCGGTAAACAAAAGTGAACACAGTAAAACACTTCTGTTGTATCTGGATGACATTTATTATTTTTTTAGGGTTTTCGAAGCAAAACATCTCGAACGTTCATGGGCCGTAGGTCGAAAACGCGATCCTAGGGCAAGATACGCAATACGATTACCTACGCTCGTCCGATTTGACCGCACTGCGGGTCCTGGAGTCGGACGGACGGGATCGATAGACGTTTGGGTTCGTCGATCCCGCCCGTGACCGGGCGCCAGAGCGGCACTTGCGACGTCCGCGGACGGGTACGGGACGACGATAGGCACAGGGCCGGGCTGGAAATAACGGGAGCGGCTGGTCCACAAACGATGTAAGTGTTGCCGCCTCCGTACGATTTACGCGTTGTCAAATCGAGAATGTCGTCGTGCAAGACGATACGCGATACCCGGGACGCCTCTAAAAATATACCGTACGAAAAGTTTTTGGAACGCTACCAACATCGACACGTTATTATAATATGCGTGCATATCATTACGGTGGCGGACTGTGGACGGTAAATCGTCACGTCTGAAATGTACAGTTATTACAAGTGTTATTGCTCACTACATTATAATCGCAACTATTGCCCGTCCGGTTTTTTCGTCGAAACCGAACGAGACGATGGTAATTTTATAATTATTATTATAGCCATCATCGTTATCATCATCATCATCATCATCATCAACTTCTACCGGTTTAATAAACGGGTAGGTGCACGTGTTCACTATATAACAACGAGCCCGGGAGATTGTTAACATTGTTAGCGATTGTCTATGTGTACAAGATGTATAATTTCTGTTTTGTCTCTATTTCGTTTCATTCGACGGCTGCCGAAACAGTTTACAGGCGGTACAACAATAATACAACGTAGGGCGGCATACCTAAGTAGACGCACGCGTACGAATTGCTGTTATGATAATTAGTTTCCGATCATCAAAAGAACGGACAAAAACCGAATTGAATGTCGATTTTGACGGCGGCTACAATGAAGCATCGCAGCCTTCGGTTCTCCGCACGAACAGCTAACGCCACGATAGGTGTACAACTGCCACACGTCATACATGAAAGTAAACGTCCGAACGTATACGCATTAATTACCATATGAACATTTGATTATTTTCCCCGCGAAAACGAATCTTCCCCGGGAATCGATTAACGTGGGTTTCCGGTGCACTAACACACGAATACAGCGATGCGCGAAGGCTTTGTCCTCGGCCGTGTCAGAAAATCTAGTGACAGACGGATTTATTTGACTCTCGGCTAAGGTAACGTGGACACGTTAGAAGATTTTCGTACGGACGCGATTTCAACGATCGCGGACAACCGTTTATTTGCGTTTAGAGGTGTTTCTACGGGAAAAATATAATTTAATGAATTTTGTGCCGGACATAATAACGGTATCAAAAACCTAGATGAAGCTGCCCGTGATGATCGGCGCTGAAAAGTGGCCCCGTGGCGAATTAACTCGATAATATTGTACTTGAAGGCATTTTGAGAGATTGAAAACGAAAAGCGGCGTACGTAGTGTTTTTAAACTATTGACGCGCGGATAGAGGTGGCTGGATCGCGTGGAAAATTGTCAAACAAATTTATCAAAATCTGAAAACTAAAACGTTGGGAAAGGGACTGGGAAACGAGATAACGTACAGCCGTCGGAAACGATAATTAGTTATCCGAGGTGAGAAAAAGCGGACGCGCAATACATCAACTGTCATATTTTTTTCGATGCTATTATAATTGTTACTATTGTTTTACCTTGGCTCCGATCTGATTTCCGCACTGACCAGCTTGCAGGTGTAATATCTCCCTCATGGTTTGGACGGCGATTTCCGTGGAAATTTGCTTGAAAAAATCTCGTTATTTGTCTCTCTTTCTCTCTCTCTCTTTCTTCAGCCGCGTTCCTTCGATTGCTGTCCCGTCGACGATGGTTTGCACACTGCGATACGACCGCTTGTCACTGCCGCGTGACCCGCACCGAGCCCGCCGCCGAGATAAGTGGGGAAAAATTACCTCGCACACGAGTCGCGATCACGAGCCCGTGCGCGCGCACGAGGACCGTGTCTCCACTCGCCTACACTAGCGTGGAGCTATTTTTTTTTCCGCGCATTCGTCAAAGCGTTTTTCATTTCGTTCTGCAGAGCTTAACACTGCCTTCGAACGGGAAACCGATAGAAAAGCGATGAATATTCACGTACGGTAAACTCGACGACGTGCGATTATTTTTCACGAGCTTTCGTTGTTTTTACAAAAATAATTCCGATACATATTCTATTCAACACCGTCATACGTCCCTCGTACACGTGTCGTCACGGACTTAGTACACCAGTACTTCTACAGAACCAGTGCCGCAACTACACCAATTTGGGCCCGTGTGCAAATAAAATTAATGCCCCCTCCCCTCTGTCTTGAAAATTAATTTTTCCAAATTTGAAAACATACTTTGGATTTTTGCTCATACAAATAAAAACAAAAATAAGGTTAACATAAGTAAAACACATACAGGTATATATTTACAAATAAATAAATGTAATAATTTGTAACCTTTTTTAATTCATATTAAATATAAATAATTATCAACATTGTAGGTAACATATAAATTGAACACAGTAAACATTAACATTAACAGTCAATTAAAAAATTGAAAAAAAAACATCACTCACTTTAAAAAATTCATTTTTCTTGCCTTTTTGTTGGCAAAATTGTCAATTATATTTTCTATGTTAATATCATTTGTTTGTTGTTTTTCAATATTAAGCAAAGCTATACTTGAAAGTCTCTCTTGCCCGATGGAGTTCCGTAAGTAATTTTTGATAAGTTTAAGCTTTGAAAAGGATCTCTCAGCTGAAGCAGATGTCACTGGTATAGTCAAAAAAATTATAATACCGATAAATACATCAGGAAATATTGATGTCAGCTCTTCCTTAACAATAGTATCAGCTAAATCGTGAATTGTCATATTTTTTAAATAGTTGGTTTGAAATTTGGAAGATAAATAGCCTTTAATTATAATAAGTTGACGAGTGAAATCAGAACTGATATCTTCTTTATATTTGTTAATAAAGTCATATGATGACTTAACAATCAATTCGTCAGACATTGATGTTAATATTTCAGGCATTAATATAATAAAATCATTACACACAGTTTTCATTCCTTTAAATCTAACTCTTAATTGTAATAGTGTTGTGTCTACAACTGGGTAAAATATAGTAACTCTAAAATTATCATCAGTTGTAGTAAGCCGGCGATCACTGTCTACTTCATCAAAATACTTTTTTGCATATCTTTGACGAGTTTCACTTAACTTGAAGGGTATATTCCACTTCATACATAATTCCCTTGAATCTTTTATTATTTGGTCATATTGATCCCGCAACTTTTCTATAATTAAAATAGCACTTTCTAATTGTGTTGATGCTTTTTGTAAGCTTAAATTAACTGATTGCATACTCTTTGATACCACTTGTAAGGATTTTAAAATAGGTTCCCATATACATAGAATAATTATAAATTCAGCATTTTCCATTTTTTTTTTTAAAGTTGTAGCCATATTTATTTCATCTTTTTTGGAACTTGAAAGCTGGATATTAGAAAGAGATTTCAAAACATCAACAAATCTGTGTTTTAATGAAAATAAAGCATTGTGTCTTGCTTCCCATCGAGTAGGACACACTTTTTTTAAAGTTATTTTATTTATTTTATTCCCGTACTCTTCACCAAAGGCTAGCTGAGCCCATCTTGGCGAACTTGAGCTAAAAAAATTGTAGATGTCTTGCACAGTATCAAAAAATGATTGTATTTTTCTAGTACTTTTAGCAGCATCACATAAAACCAAATTTATATTGTGAGAACAGCAATGAACAAATATAGCGTTAGGTACAATATCACAAATTTGTTTTTGAACGCCTGTTATTGAACCACTCATCACTGCTGCTCCGTCATATCCTTGACCGCGACATTTCATAATATTTAAATCCAATCTCATTAATGTATTTTTTAAAAGTTCTACATAATTTGCTGCACCATGATGGGATAGTAAATAAAAACCGAGAAACGACTCTTTGATTTGTATTTGTTTCTTTTCAAAATCTAATGTAGTATAACGAATTACAAGACTAACTTGGTCTTGTTTGGTTATGTCTTGAGTTGAGTCTAATATAACAGAAAAGAAACTACTAGATCTTATTTTATTACAAATTAAATGACGTAACTCTGTAAACAAAATGTCTAACAACTCGTTCTGAATAGACCAACTTAAATACTTAATTTTTTGATTTTCATCATTTAAAATATCATTTAGAATAGGATCAAACTCTGCGAGTAATCGAACTGTTCTTAAAAAGTTTCCTTCGGTGGCACATTTAATTTTTAGGCTTCCTTCATTCCCTCTTAAAGCACAATTTCCTGCTGTTATAGAAAGTATAATTTTTATCAACCTTTTCAATACATTCTTCCATTTCACTGCTTCATCAGTATATTGTTTTTCTAAACTAGCGTCAATGGTTTCATTTTTAACCCAAATGGAACGAATTTTGGCAGCATCCAAATGTTGAATAGATGATTCATGTCTTTGAATACTTTGTGACAAGTGATTCCAATCATTAATACCATAAATCCAATCCCACTTAAATTTGCCATAAGATCTATCAGCAAACAGCCAACATGATTCACAATACACACAGTCTAAGTTATAAGAATAACATAGCCAGGTTCTTGGAATTTTTGTACCAGATTTAGTTGTTAGAAAATAATAACTAGATGAAAAACGTTTACCATTATTATTTACTGGAAAGTTAATATCTGGCTTACAGGGTCCATATAAAATCAAACTTCTTATTAAATTTGCATCAGTAATAGTCCATGGAAATTTGGCTATGTCTGTTGGGAAATCATCTTGGAGATTCAGCATACTATTCAAATCTATAAGTTTTAAAATATTTATTATAATATAGCATAATATAAAAGTAATACATTTGTAATAATAGAAAAAAATCAAAATCAAATTATTAAAGTATGTACATAATAATAATTAATAGTATAGAATAAAATAGAAATTTTTAAATCAAAAATATTAGGTATTAAAAAAAATTTAACAACATTAAAATATTATTAACATATGTACGTATTTGAGCTAGTGTATACCTGTAGAAGTGCTAATATCAGAAGAGTTATTATTTTCAGTGTATGTATTATTTGTGTCTTGTCCATCTTCTTTTGAGTTTAAAATACTTTTAAATTCATTTTCTGATATTTGTCCAACACTTTCAAGTCCCACATCATATTCCACAACTATAAAAACAAAATTAATTTAATTATATTAAGTGTAATGTAATTATAGAATTTGAATAGATTCTTAAAATCACAAACATAGGTATTAAAAAAATATTTTACAATACTGAAATATTATTAACATATGTATAAATTTGAGCTAGTGTATACCTGTAGAAGTGCTAACATCAGAAGAGTTATTATTTTCAGTGTACGTATTAGTTGTGTCTTGTCCATCTTCTTTTGAGTCTAAAATATTCTTCAAATCATTTTTAGATATTTGTCCAACACTTTCAAGTTCCACATCACATTCTACAACTATTAAACCAAAATTAATTTTAGGTACCTACAATAATAGTATATCGAGTAATATAAATACATTTGAAGTTTTTGAGTTTTTTTCCATCTAATTTCAATTTTAACCCTTTTATTTAAATTAAGTAGGTCAAAAAAAGAGTCTCACGGACCATGATATAGGTATGAATTATGAATATTGCAGTCAAGTTGTTAATAAATACCTAGATTAAATAACAAAATTTCAATCATCTATAATATATATATATATCTATTAAATAATTTAACATTTTAACATCTTGTTAGTCAACAATATTTATTCATGAAATAATTTTGTACTTACCATTGTTATGTTGACTGCTTTCAAAAAAATTATTTATCTTCTGATTGGTTTTTAAAATATTACACTGTTATTGGTGTTTTTTTTTTCTTTTAGCTGCTCCACTTAAAGCTTTTGGCGGCATGATTTATTGTAGACGTAAATAAAATTAAATAAATGGATAGCTTATTGTCAATTGACCGAATATAAAACATAGACTGTCGAAGATCCCGCATTTTCAACGAGCGTCGTCGTCGTGCAATATAAAAGCGAGCCCGATCGCGGTTTTCCCGCGTGGCACATAACAAAAATAAATAACAATACCTAATTGAGATGCGTCACACACTCATACTATATGGCTATATAGGCCGGTCAAAATACGCGTTCCTTCGCATGACGCGCTTTAATCAATTGCAACCAAACTATTTTTAATTTATGTTATACGGGTCGCAAAAGAAACGTTAATATACGATAACGTTGTGTACAAGACAAAATCGATCTATTGTCCAATCATTATTAATTATTATTATATTATTATTATAACAAAATCGTTTTATTTTCTTTCTTTCTACATATTTTTCAATTTTTATCATTGGGCCCCCCATTATAGGTTGGGGCCCTGGGCCCGTGTGTTTAACACACGCAACACACCCGGTTATTGCGGCACTGTACAGAACCACCGTTAGTTTTTAAAAGATTTGGTCGGAAGCGGTTATTTCCCGTCTCCATATATCGTACTCGCAACGAGCAACGTTTGTTTAGTTATTGTATTTTCATTCCAACGTACCAGTCGGTAAAAACAGATTTTAACTCGTCGTCATGTATATTTTGAATTGACGCTGTAATTTTTATTCATATAGTCTCCTTAAATTCCTTAAAATATAGTTTAAAGAAGTAGAAGCCTGAAATATACGAAAATCATTTTTTATACATTATGAGTACAAAGTGTTAAAATACAATGTGAGATAGTCGATTTTCAAAAGACTGAACGAATTCAGATTTTTTAATAGATTTCTTATCGCGTCACTAGATCGATCGGTACTTAAGAATGATAAATGGTATGTTTAAACACTTGATGTTACTGGACACACTGCGTGTGTGATAGACAGAAACGGAAAATCACATTTTTCAATCCCCTTTAGCTAGTGTTCCGCACGGGACGTTTGACGTGCCGATAAAAGCCTCGTTGGACTTTTTCGTAAATTAAAACGTTATTCCGCCACATTCCGAGAGTTACGAGCGAAAAAGAAAAACCGAAACCGCCAACATCGTCCACGCAAAATCTCGTTGAATAATAAAATATCATACTTCTCCACATCGGAGCATTGGTTCAAGCAGCTCAAGGAACTACTCTTGAGATCAACGCGCTTGAACTACATATATATAACATTAAATATTATTCGGACTACAAATAAATAACTTATTACGAACAAAACCAATTAATAGAGTTTTAGTGTTTTCATTGTAATGGTTTTCACCACACACCTAATTCACTGTTTAAATTTAATCAATAAAATATTAATTAAATGTATTCGTTCATATGCATATTTTAGTTGTCACAGCGGGCAATATAATATTTCAATGCAAATTTGATTTTTCACTTTTTTTTTTTTGTATATACTCGTATAAAACAATAATATTCAATCCTCCTCGACTCTTTCCACCTTTATTTCACATTTCGTGTAATGACAACTGTTCACATTGTTAAATATGATACGTTCATTAAGTTATACATTGTTTGACCTCTCAAATATCATAATGGATAGGCATATAACCCATTACATGTACTGAGGTTACCCATAACAATAAAAAAATCTAATAGTATATGATCTATTGCTATAAGTGAAGTACATAAATTAAATATAAATAACATGTTTCGTAATGTTTAATATTTTTTTTTACATTCAAAATGATTTATTACCCATTATTGAAGGAGAAATTTTATAAAAAATATTTAAAAACACAAAATTATTATTATATAATATACATTTATTAATTTATCTATGCCTATTTAATATACATAAATTATAAACATATAATTTCTAATTAATAAACCATAATAACACAAATTGTAACACAATCAAATAACACAACAAAAAATTAACTTATTATTTTCCTTTTTTTTTACACTTACGTTCGTTAACAACTACAGTTTTTAAAACCACATGATTTGCATCCTTTAAATGTTGATGTAATTTATTTTTCGATGAGAATACTGATGAACAAACGCCACATGCATGATTTGACTTTTTTACTTTTGCTTTTTCAAATGTTTTTTGTTTTTTTTTGGTTTTCGATGACTTTCCTACAGAAGGTTCTTCCTGTAGTTTACTTTCTTCTAGTACATCTTCAGCAACATCTTCAGCTACTACATTATTTTCATTGTCATCACCAACAGGACAATGATCATCACATTCAGTTTTTTTAGCACTAATCAACACAACATTATCTTGATGTTTTTTAGATGATCGATGATTGCGCAGAGCTTTTTCTGTTTTAAAAGACTGATCACATGTCAAACAATATAACACATTTACTTCATCAACAGATACGGAGTGTTTCTTTTTACTTTTACTCGGTTTTCCACTGATATTAGGTATTTCTTCTTCACTGCTCAAATCAGCTTCTAGTACATCATCTGAATCAATTCGATTTTGTTTATTTAATCCATCAATATTCGTGGACTTTTTATTATAAAATTCTACTAGTTCGTCAACCTGACTACTTGAACTATCACATGACTCTTCTTTGCTATCGTTAGAACTATCGCAATCAGCATCATCTACAACACTTTCAACACTAGAATTGCTTTGATCAGTTTCATTAGATAAACTACTGTTTTCATCGAGCTCTTCGTTGTTAAGCATTTCGTCATCATTCAACATCTCAACCTTGATTAGTTCAATATTTTCTTTATGCTTTTTAGACTTTTCATGATTTTGAAAAGCTTTTTCTGTTTTAAATACTTTATTGCAAGCCACACAGTATAAGCAATTTGCCATTTCATCATCTGACTCAATTTCTTCACTACTTCCGTACTCGGTAATAAGGCTTTCCTCGATTATTTTTAATTCAGCTTCAACATTGGAAAATTTTGACCAGTCAGATTCTTTATAACTAGCCATTTCTTTTTGTTTATCTTTAATCCTTTTTCGTCTAGCTTCTTCCATTCGTTTATTATTCTCAGCTGATTTTAACTTAAGAGTCTCAGCATATGCTTTAACTCGTTTATCACGTTTACATACAAACTCTATTAATGCTTGTATCTCATCATTACGTTCTTTCTTAGCTTTGTCACGAATCTTCTTATTTTCTTTTTCCATTAATTTGATAATGCGTCTATTAGACGCTTGTCGAATATCATGTTGATCTAACCATCCAAATGGTTTGTGCGTATTGAAACCACGCCAAAAGTTATAAAATGGTCGAACAATTTCCATATAGTCACTGTCTGATTGGCCAAATGTTGGAATCTCATTAGGATCTATTTCGAAATAAACACTTTCTTCAACTAATATAGTATTGAATACCTCGCGATATACAGAATAGAACCCTTTCTCATCATCCCCAAATCCTTTGTAACATGAAGGTGAAAAATACTTAAACAGGTTGAGCTCATTGACAGGTGTGTCACCACTATTAATAATATACTCTCGATGATTATCATACCATTGGCGTTCACGTGGATCACCGAGTACTTCATAAGCTTGTTGAATCAACTGAAACTGTTCTTTAGCATCTTCAATATTATCCAGATTTTTATCGGGATGCCATTTCAAAGCCAATTTTCTGTAAGATTTTTTCAACTCATCAGCAGACACGTCTCGAGATACTTCCAACACTTCGTAGAAACACTTCATAGTACTTGGTGAAAAATATGACTGAAAATCGATAAGAACATAAATAAAACGATGTGATATGGAGGAAAATAGAAAAAACATTGAAATTCGTACAAGAACGTGTAAAGAAAATCAACATTTACAAATAAAATGTTCTCACAGTTTGCACTTCACTTACCAATTGTCGCTATGAAATGTAATGTTTACGAACAATAACTACAATTTTTCATCTAGACACATTTGTAACTGTGCAAATGTACGACCGGCGTTTTACTCGGTCTTCCGAAGTTTCTAGCTTACAAAACAAGAAAATAACGATGGTTATCAAAGTTCGAGGAAATGATTTTGATTTGATAACAATAATCAAACCACCAAACATTGTGGATAAGAAAAAAAAATAATATACTGTTATTGACGTCTGTGGTGTATGCACTGTTCATAATATAATTGATAATAAATTGATACTCAAAGCACAGACTTCTATACTACACTAGATAAGTAACTACTATCATTGATTATAGATAGTATAGATAGCTCACTGGATGGTTTTTCGAAGGCGTAGAATATAACTGCCGGTAGATAGCGATAAAAGAAATAAATTTATTTAAATTGATATTTATAAAATAATCCCGTATAGTTTCGTATCGAACCAATGTTGGTGTGCGTCGGGTGGGAGAAACAGATAATTTTCTATTACTTATTAGATAAGAATATCATATCCGATGCGCGACGGGCGAAGACAAATAGGCCGAGCTGTTTCCGTACTATCGCGTCGTAATCATTGTTTATTATATATTTTGTATTATAATTTATTTATTTAATAGAAATAAGTAATTATAGTATTTATAAAGTATATGCTCGGTACTTACCTCCGTCTTATTGTAATACTTATTATTCTTTGTTATATTGAATTTAATTGATTACTGATAATTACAATTTTTAAAGTGAATTTTTTTTTTTTATTATTGTATTCTAAAATCTCTTATTAGTCAGTTTAAGAACATATTTTTTCGTAAACTTGAATTTCATATAATTTTACACTTAGTGTACATAAGTAAATGTGATCTAAATAAAAACAAATTAAGCATGACTTCAATTAACTTATTGTTATACAAAAAATTATTGATTTACAATTTTTAAAATATTTTAGAAAATAATTATTATATATATTAATTATATTAATTAATATATATTTACGATATTTATTGGCATCTAAATTATGTAATTGAAGTCCGGGAAAAAAGAAAGTTTTTTACCCCCAAATTTTACACCCACGATGAATACTTGTGTGAAATATGCACCTATAACATCTGTGGACGTTGAACGGTCGTTTAGTACTTACAAAATTATATTAACTGAAAAAAGAACCAACATGACCCCACAAAATATGGAAATGTATTTTGTAATTAATTGTTATGTAAACAAAAAATAATAGTTTTTTTATATTTAAATATTTTTTTGATTGAATTTGATGTTGAAAGGTTCAACATTTCTATTTTATTATTTGTTTAAACTGTTTTATAAACATATAATGATATTTTTTTTATATATTTAAATATTTTGTTGATTTAATTTGATGTTAAAAGGTCCAACACTCCTAATTTTGTTATATTTGTTATGTTATAAATT